AGTGATATTAAATGAAGTTGAAATGTAAAGTTTGCACTGGAGTTCAGTGCAAAGAAAAGACTCAGCAAAAGGACTTTGTTTGAGCATTAAGAGAGTGCTGGAAATTATAGCTCTGGGTAGCTTACATTCAGAGTCTGCCAAAGTTATTTTCCTACTTTCGACTCAAGCAAAAGCAAACTGGTCCAGCCTTTCCTAGGTCACATCTACAATGCAGAATTCATGCAACTGAATTGCCGTGGCTCAATGCTATGAGATCCTGGAAATTTTAATTTGGTGAGGCACCAGCACTCTTTGGCAGAGGACGCTAGAGTCCTCATAAAACCGTGGCTGAATGAAAATCACGTGTAGTTCACATTTTTACCAGTCCACGCAAGTCTTTCTAGAGAAAAGATATGCCACGCAGATGATCAGTAAAGAACCAAAAGTTTACTGGGTTGTTGTAGGTTTTTTCGGGCTATATGGCCATGGTCTAGAGGCATTCCCTCCTGACGTTTCGCCTGCATCTATGGCAAGCATCCTCAGAGGTAGTGAGGTCTGTTGGAACTAGGAAAAAGTTTACTCTTTTTAAATGCAGAGCAACATATATACAGTCATGTCAACAGTTGCATTGACTCACACAATGTGCTTTGAGAAAGATCCAAATGGTCCTTAGGTATCCATGTGGAAGATCTTCTTTCAGCAGCCCAGAAGCAAACCTGTCTCTGTAAGCTCCTGCACAGCTAACAGCCTCAAAATGTAATTGTTGCCAAAACTCTCAGGCTCAGCTAGCCTCTCAGGTGTAGGCCAATCAATCAGCTTCATACTTTACATTTTCAGTTAACACACTCACCAACCGATTCTTACATGGATTGTTGTAGGTTTTTTGGTCCATATGGCCATGTTCTAGAGGCATTCTCTCCTGACGTTTCGCCTGCATCTATGGCAAGCATCCTCAGAGGTTGTGGAGTGCCGAAGTTTGCCCATGACTGGTGTAGATACATTCTAAGAAAATCTTAGCACCATTGGGTGCATCTACACTGTAGAATGGATGTAGTCAGCATGTAGCCGGGGGAGGGGGGGGGGGCTTGAGGGGCTTCAGCCCCCCCCCCCCCCCCCGAAACGAAATCCTGGCTACAGACCTGGATGTAGTTTAACATCACTTTAACTGTCATGGTCCAGTGCAATGGAATATTGGGAATTGTACTTTATTTATTTATTTGTTTGTTTGTTTATTAACGACATTTCTATGCTGACCTTCTCACCCCGAAGGGGACTCAGAGCAGCTTACAAGATATATATACATACAATATATTATATTATTAGCATAGTACAATATCAGTATTATATATTACTACTAGCCGTCCCCTGCCACGCATTGTTGTGGCCCAGTCTGTGTATATGTGCTTTGTGTGTGTATGTGTGTGTGTGTGTGTGTGTGTATAAATATATATATATATATATATGTTTGTGTATATGTGTATATATGTGTGTTTGTGTATATATATGTGGTTTTGTGCATGTGTTGTAATGTATTTTTTAAATATTTTTTTGGCTTTTTAAGTCTCTTCTGCTGTGTTTTTCAATGTTTTTATGAGTGATGGTCACTCGTTGGCCTGATAAGTGTATTGTGTCCAAATTTGGTACCAATTCATCTGGTGGTTTTTGAGTTATGTTAATCCCACAAACAAACATTACATTTTTATTTATATACACTAGCCGTATCCTGCCACGTGTTGCTGTGACCCACATGGGGGTTCTGTGTGGGAGGTTTGGCCCAATTCTATCGTTGGTGGGGTTCAGAATGCTTTGTGATTGTAGGTGAACTATAAATCCCAGCAACTACAACTCCCAAATGTCAAGATTCTATTTTTCCCAAACTCCACCAGTGTTCACATTTGGGCATATTGAGTATTCGTGCAGAGTTTGGTCCAGATCCATAATTGTTTGAGTCCACAGTGATCTTTGGATGTAGGTGAACTACAACTCCAAAACCAAAGGATACTGCCCACGAAACCCTTCCAGTATTTTTTGTTGGTCATGGGAGAACTGTGTGCCAAGTTTGGTTCAATTTCATCATTGGTGGGGTTCAGAATGTTTTTTGATTGTAGGTGAACTATAAATCCCAGCAACTACAACTCCCAAATGACAAAATCATTTTTTTGAGTGAAGGACATACATTGGGTTGTTAGGTGTCTTGTGTCCAAATTTGGTGTCAATTCCCCCAGTGGTTTTTGAGTTATGTTAATCCCACAAACGAACATTACGTTTTTATTTATATAGATTACATGTAATATAAAGGCACCAAAGGCTAAAAGCTTGGAAAAAAATACTAAGTCAGAGGATACCATTATATGCAATAGCAGTTAAAGTGGTGTCAAACTGCATTAAATCCACAGTGTAGATGTATCAGTTTTCAGACTACAGTTCCAAGGGGCAAAGCGATAGTAGTTAAAAGGATACAAATCTGCTGTAAATTTGTAGGGTGTACATAACCCGAAGTGTGCCACTTTAGATCAAATGTCTCCAAAGAGTTTACTTTATCCTGGGAAAGTAAATAATAATAATCTCTTTACTTTTGCCTTCTGAAATGTAACCAGTTCAGGAAAGATGCAGCCTTCCCTCCAGGAAATTGCACATTTTACGATGCAAGGCACACGTCGTATTATTGCTCGAAGCCATGTGTGGGGAAGTGTGGGGGGAGCAAAGGCGGGCAACGGAGCCTGCGGCGCATTAAGATTCTTTGGCTCTCTGGGAACTTGACACCAAGCCGTGATCTGTCGCTTAAAAGCATCCACACGCACACACAATAAAAATAATAACAATCCAAACAGAGACGAGTTCCCAGTAAATTTGAGCAACTTCATTCTCTCTCTTCTGTTGTTGCCTAAATTACATCTGAGTGAAGAAACCTCTTAGCTTCAGGCTTGCAATTCCTCTGTAATTGGTAAAGTGGCTGTAGACTGCGTTGTCACTCAGGCACGGTGGCATGTCACTGCGGAGTCCGCCATGAGTGACATTAGGACGCAACCCTCTACCCTGGCTTCCTATCTAGTGTCCATTCCTATCTAGTGGCTCAGAATTCAATGTGGAGACCATTTAGGATCCTTCCGGGCCCTGAATTTTCAAGGCACAAACCTGAAACATAGAAATGGCCCCTGGTGATATCATGCTTCGATTATACATCCAGTACCAACCGCAGAGGCTCATCTGCTTTGGGAGATGGGAGAAAGAGTGTTTTGTCTACGCAGAAGGGTGGATTCAGAGTAGAGTGGAGTGTGAGTCCTGGCACTATCACCAGAGGCGGCCCTAGGTAATTTTCAACAGTCAGCAAACCGTATTTTGCCCCCCCCCCCGCCCCAAACCAATCACTGATATATATTTTCTGTTCGTCATGTGCCACATTTGGTTCAATTCCATCATTGGTGGAGTTCAGAATGCTCTTTGATTGTAAGTGAACTATACATCCCAGTAACTACAACTCGCATACGTCAAGGTCTATTTTCCCCCAGAAGCGCGTCAAAAGTGCCCCTGGGCAAAATCAACTATACTGCAAATGGTTACTTTGCGTAATAGGTTGAGCTGCCCCTGACTATCACATATGGAAGAGGAAGCCAACTAGGTATAAGTCTAGGAATTATAGTCAAAAATCAACCCAAAAAACTTTTTTTTTGGTGTCAGGAGTGACTTGAGAAACTGCAAGTCACTTCTGGTGTTAGAGAATTGAAACTGCAAGTCACTTCTGGTGTTAGAGAATTGACCGTCTGCAAGGACATTGCCCAGGGGATGAACTGATGTTTTACCATCCTGTAGGAGTCTTCTCTCATGTCCTCACAGGGACTCCCCAGACAATCTTAATCTCCAAGATGGTTCATAGGGGGATACTTTTGGAAAGGTAAGCTGGGCCAGAACCGTTTAAGGCTTTATAGGCTAAAGACAGTTTGAATTGTGCTTGGTAGCAGACTGGCAGCCAGTGGAGCTGGTGTAACAGAGGGGTTTTTATGCTCCATGTATGCCGCTCCGGTGACCAATCTGGCTGCTGCCCATTGGACCATTTGGAGCTTCCGAAAAGTCTTCAAAGGCAGCTATAGCAATGTAAGGCCATGGTGTTCTCTGGACTTGAGACTGTGTGATGTGCCCAAGGTCACCCAGTGGGTTTCCATGACTGAGTGCAGAATCAAACCCTGGTCTCCAGAGTTGCAGTCCAATGCTCAAGCTACTACACCATCCTGACTTTCAGCCGGATACATCTTTCAGAGTTAAGGGAGATTTGCAGTCCCAAAGGGAGAAGGCAGCCCCAAGGCGAGGCTTTGCAAGATTCTGCAAATCTCCCTGTTCATGAGGCCCAGTGAAGCATTGATGTCAGGGCAGAACAACTGCCAAGCAAAAGCGAAGGGGAATGGCAGGAGGAGATGCTAATCCGTCGGTTAGGATTTCACCCAAGAATGAGGATTTGGCTGTGATCGCAAGGATCTGGCAATGCCTGTTTGAAAGCAGAGGTTTAAAGGAAAACGGAGAGTTATTTAAGCTGCGGTTGCAGACAGGATTGGTTGGGGGGGGGGGGGGCACTGTTTCTCTGGCACTGAAAATGTCCGATTTCTGCCAAGTTGCTGCCTGGCGTGTGTGGAAGCAGGAGAAAAAGGGATGTAATGATGGATGCTAAGAAATCAGAGCTGTTTTGTTCCCTGTTTTGGATTTCCTCTTGCAGAGTCCTTGTAACGCCTAGCATACTGTGTGAAGTCCTAAGAGTTTGAGTTAAAACAGGTAGCTAGCATTTCCAAATTCTGTATCTAATCCCTTGTAGTGATGCCAAAAGCATCCAGCTAGAAATGCCAGGATGAAAACCACTGCAGACATTTGGAGCATGAGGTCTTCTTGGAGAGCAAATGTCTTCCCTGGAAGTGTCAAGTTGTATGCCTTGCTCCCAATATCTTCTGGTGTGAATGGTTGATGTCTTTTCTTGTTTACTTTGCACAACATTGCCTGTAATGACATTTCCCTTCCTTCTTCTTTTAATGCTACAGCTGTTAACGATTGATGATAACTTCTGTGGCCTGGACATGAATGCCCCACTTGGAGTATCTGAGATGGTGCGAGGACTCCCCATCTTCACAGAGGACCGGGATAGGATGACATCCGTCATTGCTTACGTCTACAAGAATCACTCGTTGGCTTTCGTGGGCACCAAGAGTGGCAAGCTGAAAAAGGTAGGCCTGACCTTTCCTAGCTGGATGTACTGACGTGTGAGCAGTGGCTTCTCTGAGGATGACTGCTGTTGCTGTTATGGGGAGGATGCATTGTCTCCGAGCGAAACAAGCAGTTAGTTTGAGCTGCCTTGTGATTTGTGGAGTAATGCACAGAGTAGCAGCTTGCAGTTCCAATGTGAATCGGTAGATTAATGTGTTCGGGGTTTTGGTCTGAACTTTAAAGGACATAATCATCCACAACTTCAGCACCTTGTCTTGCTCTTTTAAAGTTTGGATGAAACCTGGAATCCAACTGAAATTGTTTTGTCTCCAATCTCTAGTGGTTGTATATTGGAGGGAGGATGTTTGGTTGCATTCGGAAGTTGGCAGAAGGTGCTCTCTGAAAGCCATTTTGTATATCCCTTTGGTTTGATGGGCTCAAGTATTGATGTATAGCCGAGCTGAGATGTAACTGGTATCGTTCCTGTTCATTCCAATATCTAAAATTGATAACGAGCAATGCTAAATATTGTATTTGGTGCCTGCAGATTTCAGAATCATGTCTTTGTCATTTTGGTGGCTGCCATAAATCAATCAATCAATCAATCAATCAATCAATCAATAAGGAATTAAGGGTTGTGTTTGGAACCAACTTTCTTCATTCATCAGGCATTGTGAGGTTACAAATCCAGAGCAATGTGGAATATACTCTTATGGCATTGATGTAGGCCCATGAAAGAACTATGCACCTACTACCTTTGGTTCTGAACGTCCTCACTCAGTTGTTGGTTTGGTCTTACCTTCTGATTAGATGGAATTCCCTCTTCTGGGTGATATTAAAATAATGTGATCTTAATTCTGCTACTTTTGTCTCTTCTTCTCTTGGTTCAAATAAGTCAATTTAAAACATGTGAGTTCTCTGGCACCCTATGGATGGAACTTGTTTATAGTATAAACTCTTCTGGGCAGAGGAAGCCCATTTCAGCGAATACATCCTCTGTCCCACAGAAGTTTATTTGTTGGTCTCAAAGGAGCCACATTGCTCGTTCTTCATTGGGTTCATTGGGTTGCCACCATGGATACTCTATAAATAGATGTCCTTCCTATCTTCTCTGTATGTGTAAGCATGTGATCTCCTTTGGACACCACCCAAGAGATTGGGATGTTCACCCTTGGCATCATCATGACTTTCTTCTTTGACATCACATCCAATTTATCATCTAGGACCATCAATGTCTAGGCACTGGAGCCAAGGTTCTGAGTCAAAGAGGCATTTCACTCGGGGGATGTTTTTTGGCAGGTATTTTGATTGTCTCTCCAGATTCACTGGAGGTGACCTTCTAATGGAGAGAAGTTGGCTCACCATATGCAGCATTGTTGTTTAACGGGCTACTCGCGTATTCTATTCCAGTAAGTGCAGGCATATTTCTCCTTGTGGCAGGCAGTACATTTTCTAGAGGTGAGGAAATAATGGCGAGCTCTGAATAAGTAATTGGAACAGTGAGTGGTTGAGGTTGTAGAATGGTTGCTTGTCAGTCTTTCAACCTTTGTCCTTGATCAGGAATGCAGGTTGAGCATTTCTTACTTGGAATACCCGGGAATAGGAATGTAAAATCCAAAATACTAAAAAAACCCCTATAATCTTCCACATGGATGACTGAGATAGCCCCACCTTTGCTTTTTAACGGTTCTATGTACATATTTAAATATTGCATAAAATTACCTCCATAAATGAGTTCTGTGTTTAGACTCAATTCCTGTTTCCAAGATATCTTATTATGTACATGTGTGCAAAGACAGGTATACCAAAATCTAAAATACTTCTGATCCCAAACATTTCAGACAAGGGATGTTCAACCTGTGTTTAGATTTCTGGTCCCAAACATTTTGAATAAGGGTTATTCAACCTATATTCAACTTGGATGCTCACCAGCTGTTGTGATGTATTTTTGAGACCTACACAAAGTGTAATATTAGTGCTGATGCTCTTGATGACCTATGTGAAATGTCTACAGAATTTCCCATGGTTGTGCTGGTATTCCTTGTACATTGGCACACAAGGTGCAAGTCCCCACAACTGAGGTACTATTGAATAAAATAGGAATGAAACAATCGTGCTTACCATGCATGGTTGGTGATTCCTGAAGTCTGTTCCCAGTGGACTTGACATCTGTATCTGAGTATCATATCACTAGGTGGGGATAACAAGTGGTCATCAAATTAGGAATATGTCTGCTAGTGTTTTCTGCATTTCCAAGTAGGTTAAATATTTAGGTAGAGCTTACCTCTTCACCAAGTGGGGTGGTTTGAGTCCTTAGTGAATTAAGATGGCATAAATCCAATTTATATCATTAAAATGCACTTTTGGGATTGTTGTAGAGGTCAGAATTTTGCATCAGCTGCAGACTGGCAAAAATCACATTCCCATATATTCCTTTATCTGATTCAACCCCCATCTTAAACACTAGCATTCCCTGGATAAGGGAGTTCAGAAGGAAGGGCGGAGAAGCCTGCATTTTGTCCTATTAGGAATATATGTCATCTTGACCACCCTGTTTGTTGCTTGATTACATGAGTCCCAGATGTTGTCTGTGAAAGATTGGAGGAGATGCAATGCTTTGGGAAAATTGCTGGAGGCATCTCTACTTCTCCTGTCATTCTCCACTAGCTGGAACATTGATTCCCAACCTTTTTTTGACCAGGGACCACTTGAACAGGGATTACTTTGACAAGGGACCACTTTCCAACATTAGTACCCAAAGGGTTATGAATCAGATTTGGTTGGTTATTTGGTGTGCTGATTCAGAAGATTGCATTGGATAGACCACATCAGCAATAGTCACAGAACTTATGCCATCCAGTAGTTGCCATCTGCACAGAAAACCATATTTAATAAGCCTTGGTACTATAAGAGAGTTTTGAGAGACCAGTTGCTCTTGTTTCAACAGTGTAGTAATGGTGATGCCGTGGACCATGTTTTAGTTCTTGCTGTCCACTAATGGTCCACGGACCACAGGTTGGGAACCACTGGGCTAGAAATTGGTTGGATCATGAAGAACTGCGTCAGAAAAAGGAGGGTTTGGCCAAGGATAGTTGATTGATTTTACCCATTTAGTTCTTAACATGCAATGCTGGATCCTGGTTATGTATTCCATTGAAATGTAGGCAATCATAATTGTGTATATTACCCAAACATTTTGATAGTCCTCGTGTTTGTCTTTTTTCCTGATATTGAAATAATGAGAGAGCAAAGGCTTCTTTTTCTTCTTTCTCTTTTTCCCTGCTTTGAATTGAAGCCCTTCGCAGCACAAAGGTGTAAGAAATATTTCCTAGCACTTGCTTATTGCTATTCCAAGCATCAAACCATCAAATTGGCAACAACATTTGATGCATGGAGAGTGAGTGGTGGAGGAAGAAATGCCTTCTGGAAGCGGTAAATGAGTTGTTCTGTGGAATGGCCTCAGGCAGAATCAAACAGAACAATATAGAAAACCACAATAATTCAATCTTTGATAGAAGGAATGCAACACGACCAAAAACGGCAAAGGATGGGGAAATAAACTATCATGTGGGTGGTCTGGGGAACTGTCTGAGAAAAGTAAGAATTATTATATGTTGTGTGGAATACTGGACATGACCCAAATGTTCCAGTTTTCACCTCTGGTTAATGTGGTGACCCTAGTCTACCATCTTCCTTCCAAGAGACCCAGATTGTCCCCTCATTCCTTGCCTATCATCTGCTCATGGCCTTTGAACCGTCCACTTCTTCCTTGACTGCTATCTTGTTTTGAGACAGAAGGATTGAAGCTGATTGTCCACTCAAGAGACATCAATTATTTCCTAGTTGAAGGGGTGGGTTATGCTTTGCTTTAAGCTTGTCAATCCAGCAGGCCTACCTGGCCAGTTTTAGTCACAATTTTTAAGCTTGTGTCTTGTGTTTAACCTTTGTTCTGTGTATTATAATATGTATCTTGTAGGAATATGTTTTAATATGTGTATATTATAGAATGTTTTCTGTGATTATGTGTTTTTAGCGATGTTGTAACCATCCCCGAGCCATGAGGTAGGTAAAGTTGAGAAGCAGTAACTCCAAAGTTTACCTAATAGGTTTCCTGCTGCTGCTGTTGTTGTTGTTGTTGTTACTGTTATTTCAAAGTAACGACAACAACAACAGATGGGCATCTGTTGGGGTGTGCTTTGAGCTTTTCCTGCCTTGCAGAAGGGGGTTGGACTATTATTTTTATTTATTTATTTACTTTATTTGTATATCGCAGTTTCTCAGCCCGTAGGCGACTCAACACGGTTAACAACAGGGACAAAAATTCAATGCAACAACATACAAACAGTTTAAAACAATTAACATCATAATATACCAAGTAATTACATATCAATAAACAACACATAGGCATCTAGGTGGCACCTGGGTTTTTCAGTGAAATAATACTAAGTTTATGTTGGTTAAAATTTCCTAAAAATCAGTGGATGTGCAAATCTTTCTGAAATTTGGGGGAAATGATGCCCTAGTTATGCTGTATATATAAAAAAGAAATTTAAAGATATAGCTCTTTCAGTTTTTTTAAAAATGTCATTCATAAAAACTTTAAAACATTCCCCAAAATCAGTGGATGAGTGAAACTTTCTGAAACTTGGGGGATAGGGGAACAGGTGTAAACGTGTTCTACCACTGTAGCATGTTTCATCCTGATAGCTCTAAAATGGACAGGCCTAATAGCTATTAAACCCCCAGGAGGCTCACTGAAGCTACCACTGGTCCCCATTCAATGACGTAGGCCAGTGGTTCTCAACCTTCCTAATGCTGTGACCCCTTAATACAGTTCCTCATGTTGTGGTGACCCCCAACCATAAAATTATTTTCATTGCTACTTCATAACTGTAATTTTGCTACTGTTATGAATCATAATGTAAATATCTGATATGCAGAATGTATTTTCATACACTGGACCAAATTTGGCACAAATACCCAAATTTGAATTTTGGTAGGGTTGGGGGGGCATTGATTT